GTGCGTGAGGAGAAACCGAGGCTGTCCGGGCCGGCTTTGCCTCGACAGGCCCCGGATTGGTGTTGGGCCTCTGGGCTGCGGTGGCTTTTGTTTGGTTTCCAGGCCTGGCTGCCCTGCCCAGGGCAGGACCCACACAGTCCCGCTCCCTGGGAGCTGCTGCAGGTGGCTGGGAATGGCAGTGCTGTGTACTTTAAGGAGGTATCTCCTTCCCTCTCCTGCCATATGTACCTAAGTCATGGGAAGCGTTGATCTTGCCATGTTTAAATTCAGTAGTTAAATCTCATGCTTAGAAAATGGAAGACAGAGTGCAGTCCTTCTGGTACATTGGAGGATCTGAGACTGGCTGCTGCACTTGCTGGTTGAATGCTTTAGCCCTTTTGTTAAGGGGTGTGATGCTCTCATTTGTCTGAAGGTGATGGCCTTAGTTCCTCTTTTGCACAGGACAGGAGCTTACCGCACAGGAGAGTAAGAGACCCTCCACCTTGGTGGTTATGTCACCGACAGTATTTCATCTATACCAAATGATGTAGTCACATGTGAGAGGACCAGCAAACGGGTATCACCATTCCCAGATGAGTGGTGATACTTGAGTTTCTCTCACTCTGAGCTAAAAAAATATTTAACTAAAGCAAAAAAATAGTAAAAATACTTAATTACAGTGGAAATATTTAATTACAGTGAAGCAGAGCAGCTCCAATAGTAGGGGAGAAGCACACTGCACACTTTTATTTGTCCTCAGAATATTGTGGAGCATGGAAGTTAGGGTCATGGCTGGTAAAGGTTCAGTTCTTTCAGGCAAAGGAATGTAGTTAATATTAATCCTGGATTTCCTATATGCTGGATAGACATTCCTCAGCCTGAACTATTGAATTAGAGGCAGGACACCCCTGGATTTAGTAAACAAATAGAACCCCTGCCATAATCCTGTGTAGTTATATCCAGCTTCCAAACATGCCAAAATAAAGTATCAGAAATAGTCTTTCTCTTAATGGGAGAAGGATGGGATGAGGCATAGGGCAGTGTGCGATAATGAAACTCCAGCTGTGAACTGACAGCTGGAGAAGAAACAATGTGGAGGCTAGAAATAAACTATAATGATAGTATTGCAGTCTTCTCTTATTTTTCCAATTATAGTCTTTTTTAATTTTCATACATCGATCTTCTGGAATTCAAATTTAAGATGCTTTACATCATCTACGTTAAGTCTTGGTGCTAAAGTAAAATGGATTTAACTCTGTCAGGGTAAAGAACCAAGCTTTAGTAACTTCTATATGTGTGAGACAGATTTTAGAGAGGCAACACCTACTTGAACTAAATTTGCCACCATATAAATTTCACTTTTGAGTACCATTGACACCCAGTCTGCGTTTTAGAAAGTGACTTTTTGGTGTGTCTGGGCAAGGTCTGAAATAAAAGGAAAACTAAGCCTGTGTGTTAGACCTGCTTTGAAATATTTGTGTGTGCCAATGCTAAATTCTCCTTCCTTCATTTTGGTCATGGTAGAGAAAGTACTAAAAATAAAGAACTCCTTTGTTTTTTTACATAAAAGATGGATATTGCAACACACAGCTGGATGAGCAGTCCTTCAGAAAGCCCCAAAACATTACTTAGTGGGAACTAGGAGCTGGCAAGCCAGAGTTCCCTCCTTTTCCCTCAGGAAGGGAGGGTTTGATCTTTCTCCAGCATCTCTCTTCATAGAGATTTTATAGATTTAAAGTTTTATATAAAAACTTTTAAAAGTGATTTTAATACAAGCGTTTTAAGTCAAACCCTAATTCTATAGTTATTTGAACCGATGACAAATATTATATAGGTTTCGCAAGGTATGTGCTTTGGCCTGTTAGTTGCTACCAATCTACTGTGCTGTGGTTGTTGCCATTGGTGTAGTTCTGGCATCGGTTGTTATAACGATATGTCTCCAAACCTTCTGTTTAGAAGTTCTGATATAAAACTTTATGTGTTTATGAGATTGTGCTAACTGCAGAGGGGTATCTAACATAAACTGCGTTGTGTAATCTTTTATACATTAGTGTGTCTCTGATGATAGTCATACATTTAAAAAATTATATTGTTCTATATTTGCAGTACTTAGGAGTTGAATTGTTATCTGAGTTATTTTGGTGATTTTTTTTCCTGGATTTGCTCAGCCTTACAAATTAACATATTAAGCCCACAGTACTTGAACACTGACATTAGAGCGTAGAACTACTGAGATGATGAGTGATTTTCTTCACAATTTATAGGAAACTTTTTACTCACTCTTCCTCCTGAAGCATCAGGACACAATTTTTCTGAGCAGAGCAGTGTTACTTGGTGCCACTGCAGCACTGACTCTCTGGCTGTCCAGCCTATCCTGCTCCAGAAAAGCAAATAAGGACACAATTTTATTTTTTTTTTACTTTACCACATACTAAAACTTGTAACTAAAGTGGTTCCTGCTGTGTGCTTAGCTTTTATCAATTCCCCAGAAGTAGATGGTATAGAAGACAATAGAGAGGCTCCTTTGCTTTAGTATTAGAGCAATAAGAAGTTTTAATGTGGTCTATAAATTTCATATTTACTTGTGATTTTAACTACTCTAGATTTTAGTAAATTATTTCAGTAAGCTAAGTGCAAGATACAGAAAAAAAACCCTTAGTTTAGAAGTTAAAATAATTATATTCAGTAGCACAAGACTAATTAATAGGGCAGCCTAAGCTGAACACAGAAACAACAATATGCATAGCTTCCTGAATTCCTGTCAATAAGAATTCAGTGCATTAGCTCAGAATAACAACGTTTTTCCTAGTTATGTTCAGATAACCTGCTGACACTCAAATGTATGGCTGAATCTTTTCAGTATCATTCTGATGTTTAAAAATAATGAGGTCCAAGTTTGTTATTAAACATGCTGCTTTCTCACTGAAAATGAGAAATTTTATAATCTGCAATCTGATTTTAATGACAAAAAAACCCCACACTAAATAAGTTTGTCCTAGGACAGATGAGCCCAGCTGGTTCAGAGCTGGATCTGAGCTCCCAGGAGCTTGGTGCTCAGTGGTCTCAGGTAGAAGGACTCTAACAGCTCAGGCAGGATTGTATTGGAAGTCACGCTGCTGACATGTTTTTTGATCACCTCTCTTTGAGCTTTTCCTTACCTCACCTGCTTGTTATTAGCATGCACATGCACACACACATAAAAGAAGTTCTGAAGCATTAATACGATTTGATATGGGGTTTTTTTTTCAAATGGAGTAACGAAAGTGTCCAAAATGTGGAAGTTCAAAAGATTAGGCTCATCTTCATCTTACAGCAGTGCTGCTTAGCCAACTACTTATTAGTCATTGTCTCTGTTCTTGTTTTCTCTATATTTCACAAAATTTCAAGCTGACCTATCGTTCTTTTTTTTTTTTCATTGCATCAGCCTCAATAACTTCTCTTCTTGTTCTGTTATGTGGGACAGGAATACCTCTAGGTTTTGTATGCTTTTAATGCACATAAACCATGTTAAGAAGTGATCTTGGAAAATTTTGCACTTTGATCATAGTAGAAGTTGCTGATAAGTGGCTCTTTGACTTGCAAGGCCATCCTCAGTGTCCTGGTAGTCTGCAAAACCGTACTGACAAATAAAATTTACCTACTCACTATAAATGTGAGGTTAGAAGGTGGTCCACAAGAAAGCACGTGTGGTGGCAATGGCATGTTGTTTGAGAAGTTTGGTTGTTACTGCCTTTTGTGAATTAGTGAAAATGAATTGATCTAATTAATTATTTTTTTTAACATTCTTTGTTATTGGTACCGGACATTTTTAAGGTAGAATCATTTTTAGAAGGCGATACCATTAAAAGTGGGAGGAAAATTCCATTTAAATATTACTTGAAAGACACGAATATTTAACTCTTCTGTAATTTCACTGTTGTCCAAGTAGCTGAAGAGCTGAGAGAGAAGGCTGTATGATCACTCTCTGTTAACGCTAGCATGCTGGGGGCATTGCCATTTTCATAGGCAAGAGATGTTTTGTACACATAGCTCGTACCTTAAGGCCTTTGAATTCAGATGGTTACCTAGCATTAGAGTAAAAGAAAAAAATGCTGTGCTATATTGGCTACGCTTCTATACCAGCTTCTGAAGTTACACTGCAGCAAGAGGTGACTCCACATAACTGAATACAAACCTTTCTCTGTTCTTGTTAGCTTCATCTCTCTGCTGTGAAACTGGCAGAGTTGCACAGTGATCTAAAAATACAAGAGAAGGATGAGCTAAGCTGGAAAAAACTGAAGGCTGAAGGGCTAGATGAAGATGGAGAGAAAGAAGCCAAACTTAGACGCAACTTAAATGGTAAGATATATCTTTGAAAGGAGCCAAACTTAGATGCAACTTAAATGGTATATCTTTGGTATGTCTTTACAGGAGGAGGTTAAACTTTGCATCAGACACATGCATAGTTAGGCACCTGTGTTTGTGTTTGAACCATTGAATAGCTGGTTGTCTTTCCAGACACTGAGCATGCACGAGTTCTTTGGAGGTCAGTAGGGAGCTGCAGGAGGCTAACAGATTCCTTTGCTCCTCATGTTTTCAGAAGAGGTTATTAAACCTGGGACCTCTGTGTCTTAAACTGGTAGCTTTTCCACCGTGAGGTGCAAAATCCAGCTCTGCAAGTCAAGGATGTAACCAATCTCTCATCTTCCATACGTCCATAGTTGGTTCTAATGTTTCTGTATCTTCTATTCCCCTGCAGTCATTATGACTAAATATGGAATGAATGGGAAGAAGGACTCTCAACTAGCTGATACCAACTACATTAAAGATGGTACAGAAAGTGATACACTAGATGATCCAAGACTGGAAAAATTATGGAGCAAGGTGAGTAAGGTTTCCAGGAACTGGAGTGTAGGAAATCAGTGTTTCTTCACTGAACTATCATCTGTGTCTTCTGAGAGCCCCCAGACTTGGAATTGAATAGCTTTACTACTGTTTTTAAGTACTGGCCAAGCTGCTGTGCTCTGTAGCTCACGGTTGTCTTTCTGCCCTGAGGGCATCCTGCCTTCATCCAGGTCACCAGGTGTGGCAGGTTCCCTTTGTCAAAGAAAACACCCGCATCAGTCTGCATGGAGGATAGGATCCTGGGTCCACTGAGGACAAATGCAGTTTTTTCTTAAATTTCACTGAAGTCATGATTTTCCTTTGTGTGACTACTGGGCTGTGTGGTAGTATACCTTTGTTGTTTTTCCTGGTTTTCTTATTGTTATTTCTGGGCTTTTTTAAAAATGCATTTAAAATAGAACCATTTCATAGAATGTTTAAAAGTTAAATGTATAGGGGGGGGGTGCTAAATAAGGACTTTCCCAAACTAGTACACAAGTGAAAATTTCCAGAATTTGCATTAATGCATAAAAAAAATAGAAAGTGTACTGTCAGTCTGGGCAGTTAAAACTTCTAAATCATAATCTTCTAAAATAATTCAGGTGTTAAGAAACAAGTATTCGGGTAAAGCAAATAATTCTTACAGCAATCTAGTGTGGTGGTAGTAAAGCAGAGAAAAAGATGTGCTGGGGTTTAAAAAGTTACTGTAACTAGATACAGCTCTGGCAAGGGACGTGATGTCATGTGCTTTGGGGACCAATAAAGTGCATCAGATAGAAACATTCCCTAAACGAAAAAATGATTGGGGCTGAATGGGTACAAAAAACATTCGCTTTTGATCATGCATTGCAGCAAGTAAGTCACTAGATTTGTGGGCAGTGCTCCAGCTGTCTGACCAGTGCTTCCCTAATTGCTAAAAAGTAGTCCAGTGAGGAACAAATCACTGCAGAGCAAATGCACAGCAGTGATTAAATCTTCACTTGCCGGTAGAGTAAGATTTCTTGGGTAAAGACTGTGCTCAATATCAGGCTGTATCCCTCACGCAAACAGTCCTCTTGCAGTTGCACATGGAGCTCTATGGCCCTTATTTTGGTATCAGATTGTTTCCCACAGAATAGAAATGGCAGACACTTTTCACTGGGTAGTCCATAGCAAGTCTAGCTTTATAAGTGTGAAGCGAACTGCCTTTTGACATGATTAAAGCCACCATATCTGTTGATGTCTAAACCCTGCCCTCATACTAATATAAAGGAATTTAAAACAAAAAAGATCTTAAGGAAAAGCTGGACTTAATAATCTTCTGAGTGTGGTGGGAAGTGGGGAAAAAGTTCTGGCAGTTCAGTGCACTTAAAAGCACTTTGCCTGGGAAGCATAATGAGCTCATGTTTCTCACAGGCCAAGACCTCTGGGAAGTTCTCTGATGAGGAGTTGGATAAGCTTTGGCGAGAATTTAAGCATCACAAAGAAAAGATTCATGAATACAATATTCTGCTGGAGACCGTGAGCAGAACAGAAGGTGCCTGAACACTTTTCTGATGTTTTGAGATCAGTACAACTCTTTTCTCTGCCCATTGCTTCCAAGTTTGAAACTCCTGAAGTCTGACATTTCTGTCAGAACTGCTCACAGATGCTGGCATTTCCAGATACTTGCTGGGTTTAGTTCTGCATAGGCTGCCAAAAATCTTGCCAGCTATTGAAAATGTTGCCATTTTGGTTTTCTGATTCTGCCTGCGTTTCAGGCAGGGAAGATACCATCAGGTGAGCAATGGTGGCCATAGTAATTTACTGGAAATTATGCAGCAAGCATCGATCCACTGCTGCAAGATGTGGTCCTAAAGTCTGCAGAACATGCATGTTTTATCTCACCAGCTGGGAGCCCAAGAGGATATACTTGAATATCTTAGGCACTGACCCCGAGGTGTATGAAAGCATTGAAGATCTGAATCCAGCTTGCTGTACTAATCCTAGCTAAAATTGTTAGAGCCAAAGTATTCTATAAGCTTCTAGGAAATTTGATGTTTGCATTGTAGAGTCCAAGTTAGAAGCTGCTTGAAGTCATTTCAACATCAAATGTCCTGATTGGTTCATGAAATGCCCAGGGAAGAGGGCAGAGGACACATCAGCCATCCCTATCCCATTCCCTTGGGATATTGCTAACCTTGGAAAATAAGAACATTTCTTTACTAAAATCTTGGCTGGTGGCCGGTAGGAATTAAAAGACATTTCTGTACTGTCACCCTCCAGAGCACTGAGGGGCATTGATCTTAATACTGACCTGCAAAAGGGACTACTGCTTCTTAGAGTGTGGTGTTGATGCTTTATTTACACTCTGCTCAAATGCTAAGAACTTACCATCTTTTATTCACCTCAGATTTCGAGGATTTCTGGAACTTTTGACCTATCAGGATTTGTCCCACAATCAATAACACTTTTCTTCTTCAACAGATATCCACAAAAATGTTATCAACCCATCTGAAGAGAACCTGGTAAAAGAGGAAATCTTGCACAACAAACACAGAGAACTCAAAGACAAGCTAAGAAGCATCAATCAGGGGTTTGAGCGTTTGCGTAAAGTCAGTCACCAGGGATATGACACAACCAGTGGTATGATACAGTGGTTTTTATGCTTATTTGGGATTAATTTGAATTAAAAAAATTAAAAATCAGTGGGCGAGTAATAACATGTAGTCACAGTACATGATGTGACCACAATGGGCTGAAGAGAGAGAGCCAGCCTCTTCTATTTAGAAGCCAACACTAGAAGCCTAATGAAAGGATAGAGACAACCTGTAAAGAGGATAGTTCTGTCTTCCATGCCCACATATGAAGGGATATTACACCTTCAGCTCCAGGTAAGTGAGACAATATGCAGGGCAAGCCACGCCATTATTCAGTTCCTTGAAGATTTTTTGCTTTTTAAAAAAATACATGCTACAGCAATACTATAGTTTTAAGTTAAGCACTTGGATTTTTCTTTCTTTTCATCTACATAGACCTATTAGTAATGGAGTGCGTAATATATCTGTGTGCATGTATGTGTAAAAGCATGCTCATCTTGCATAGAAGCTGGGTGTAAAAGCATTGTGTCCAGATTTTCATTTAGTGGTGTGTGTTTGTTTAGAATTTGAAGAACCAAGAGTGATTGATTTGTGGGACATGGCCAAATCAGCCAATTTCACTGAGAAAGAGCTTGAATCTTTTCGGGTAAGTAGAATTCCAGTTAGATCTCTTATGGAAAGGTATTTTCCCACATAAAGAAACTCTTCGTGTTACTCTGAGAGCAGCCGCTTCTGTATTGCTCTTCAGACACCATAAAAGAGAGTCATGCTTCTTTCTGAATACTTCAAATCTATAAACATATATGTAATTAGTCATATGCATGGTTCTGTTATAATCAGCAAAATTAAAATTCTGAATCCTGTGAAAGAAGGTGTTGCATATTTTAAATCTTTGAAAGATGAGACCCTGCTTGTTTGTTTCCAGTGGACCAGATTTGCCTCTTACCCAATGTCTTAACGTAATTACTTCTTTGTGAAGCAGCGTACTCTGTATACCCAACAATTTCCCTCTCATGCCCACCTCTTGCACTGCTAACTTCACGTGTTGGAGCTGTGTTGAGCTGACCCAAAAGTACCACGATAAGGACTGCTTTTCAAGGAAATATTATGGAATATATAGAATATTATATAGTGAGGTTCATACTGGTTTTATTTAATTCAAAACCCATTGAGATTTTTTTTCATCTGACTGCCTGTTTATCAGAAGAGATTTTGATTGATAGCCTGGAGAAGTAGCTCTTCAGGGCTTCTTTGTGGAGTTACATGTACTTACACTGTTGTCTTACCATCCAAGAGATGGCTAGGTACACCTTGAGCTTTTTTTCCAGATAAGGTAATGAGAGAGTTTTAACTGCCAGGGACAGGGATTGAAATCTGTCTCTGTTAGATGTCAAAGATCCATCTTACTGCTTTTAACTCCCATGCAGCCTGATTCTCTTAGGAAGCAAACGCTCTCATTACACTGATTTCAGTGGCCTGCTTTTAAGATTGTCAGAGGAAAGCCTGCTGAAGTCTGCAACAAGACTTCTGCTGACCTCAGACAGCAGGACTGTACAATTGCATGTGAGTACAATTTGGCCTTCATATCTGCCACAGTGAAAAAGAAAAACCCAGTTCCATAAGCAAGAACACCTATCTGCTTATTAATTTTACTGGTTTAGTAGAAATATTCATTCGTGCAAACCTTCTTCACCAGCCCAAACCTGTCTTGTTACTGTGAGTGTTGGGACATCCTAACAAAAGTAAGAATCACAGTGAAACATCTGCCTATTTAAAAAGTCTATGAAAGCAGAATTAAAGAAATCATGTGCTGATTCCATTCAGCCTCGTTTGAGCAGCTGAAGTTGTGTCTTCTCCTGACTGGCCACAGTACCAGCCTTTATACAGGTTTCATAATGAATGGCACAAGTGCTGCTCAGCTGGTACATCATCCGAGAGGAGCAGCTAAAATGATTTATCAGAGCAGTAAAACCCCAAACTGAGGTCCCGAACTGGAGTATGTAAAACAGGCTGGAATGTTCTACAGCAAAAGGAAGCTATTTTGTTGTCAGACATGCTGAAAACAAAACCCCTTTGCTTTAAAAACTGAAGATCTTACTAGAATGATGGATTTCTTTTTTAATTGTCTTGAAAAGAGAGGAATTTTGTCAGCGACCAGGACTGAAACACACCAGTGACCAAAATTAAGTGGGCTCTGTCAAACAGGGGGATTTGTCTGAGTTTTTCTGAACGTAATGCATAGAACTGCTGCTGTAAGTGGCATAACAGTTTGAACTGTTCATATCCTCTTCACAGAGGGTGTGTCCTAAGACACAGAGAAACCGAATTTTCTGCCTTGAAGTAGCAAAACAAGAGCGAGCTTTGGTGGGTAGAGACGTTACTCATTCTTTGGTCACCTATGCAGTGTACCGGGTTATCTGAGGACCCTCTCTGAGACGTCCCTGAACACTACAGACAGTCTGGCCACTGTCTTTGAGGCAAACAAAGAAGGGTTTTTGTTTGTTACTTAATTTCAGATTCATCATAGCAGACTGCAAACCCAGAAAATGTTTAGGGCTGAGCAGAAAATAGCAAATCCAGGACCTGATTTTGAAGAGTCTTCTCTTAAAAATTGTCTGTCTCCCTTCCCCCAGTCCACTATTCTTTGTATGAACTTTTATTTGCTATACGCTGCTATCATCTCCCAGCACCTCGCAGCCGTCAGCAGTCTCCTTTTGAGGACTCTGCAGTGGGACATTTTCAGCACCTGCCTTCCAAATTGGGTGTCTGGGTGGTGATGATAACGTATTGTCCAGGCATTCTGAAGAAGCAGGAAACTGAAAAAGCTTTTCTGTGCTCAACTGAGTGCAATAGCATTAGGGATGTCTTGGCAAGAAAAGAGAGAGGAAACCTTGGATGGAAAATCCCGTGAAGCTGTGTGTATCTGTTGTCTTAGGAGGAGCTGAAACACTTTGAAGCAAAAATTGAAAAACACCATCACTATCAGAAACAATTAGAGATTTCACACCAGAAACTGAAGCATATAGAGGGAACTGGAGATAAGGATCATCTGAACAGAAACAAAGAGAAATATGCCATGCTGGAAGAAAAGACAAAAGAACTAGGATATAAGGTCTGTATAAATCCACTGTATGTACATGTTGAAAGTTTAACTCTGTAGTAGAGGGTATATAGATTATCCAGTGCTGATTTTTCATGAAAGTTGAATGATTTTCAGAGGGGGAGTTTCCGACACACTTGTGCTCATAGTCCAGGATATGCATAATTGTTTTTTATAGACCTAATTCTAAAATGCTTGAAATCTCCCTGGTCTCTGCTCTTCCTGTTGTCACGTATACTGATAGCAAAATCTGAATATATGATATTGATAATTCACTGGCTTACTAAAATTTGTTTGATGTGTTATGTTTTCCTGCTAGGTAAAGAAGCACTTGCAAGACTTATCCAGCAGAATCTCTCAAGGTCTTCAACATAATGAATTATAAAAATTTGTACTCCTTCATGGGATCAATCTATTAACACAAAACAGATAACGTGGGTTTTGAACAGGATTTACCAAGGATTCCTTCTGAAATAGTAAGGATTGAACAGAGTTGTCCTGTAAGAAATTTTTTTTTGGTCCACTTAATTTGCCAATTTTGTATTTGCACTATCAAATTAAATGATTAGATTATAAATTTCAGTTGCACGTCTTGGATCATATAAATCTTATATCTGAATCAAGTAACAGCCTTTGAAATAAGCAGTCATGTCAAAAGGAAAAATATGTGCACTCTTGGAGGATTCCTGCTTGTAAAAAAAAAAAACCAAAAAAAACCCACAAAAACCAAACGACTAACCTGATAGTCAGGAAGGGTATTCTGATCAATGAAAGCAAACACTGAGGTACAGGAAGTTAAAACAGAGACCAGAAAAGTCTTATTTCAATGCCTGGTCTATTTCCTACTGAAGGTAATGAAAATATTCTACTGACTTTGAGCTGTGGCTCAGAGCTGCACTGTATTTGAATCTTTCATGTGAGAGGGGGAGGAAGAGTAAGGAGGGAACAAGTATTGAGGTCAGTTCACACAATTTAGTTATAGACTAACACATCTGAAGTTACTGAATGTATGTGTACAATTATCTTGTTCATGGTTGCTTGGCTTTGTTACACTTAGTCATTAAAAAAATCAAAACCAGATACCGATGAAGCTTTTTTTTTTCTTCCCTCTCATTTAGTGAGAAGTAACCAGACCTGCTTTTTGAGTATGTTGCTTACTCCTTTAAACTGAAATTCACTCGCACATTAGTTTTTAAGACAGGAGGGGTAGTTTTGTACCACCAGAATGTGTTTCTGTGTTCTGAATAGGCAGAAGGCTCTCTAAAGCAGCTTTTCTCTGAGCACATATTCCAGTTCAATCTCCAGTAAAGACTATTATCACTTTCCCTTTCAAGACCAGATTTTTCTGTTGTGCATCAGAACTTTGGCAAACATTAGCCATCTGGGTTGAAATTCTCTATAATAATAATGCTGACCCTTTATTTCTAAGGAGAGTTTCACATGAAACTGTTCCAGGAACAAGGTTAAGGCAAAGGTCCAGTGTAGGTAAATCATTACAGCTGCTGGGTTAAGAAGCTCTGTCACTCACAGATTGCAGCACATGAGGAAGCTGTCCTCGAGCCTCGCTTGCCATACCTGCTCCATGAGGAATATTGAAGAGATGCGTTCAGTCAGAATCAGCCACTCATATATATTATTTATCCAGTTCTGGGTGCATGATGGGTTAAACATAGTATGATATCTGTATGTAAAGACTATTTTGTAATGTGCAAGTGGTCTGAAGCAAAACTGTGGTAGCAGTCTTTCTTTGAGATTCTGAATGTCTTTCTTTGAAGCAGTAAGCTTTTTTTCTTCTTTTTAACTTTTTTATTTTAATGTAAACTAACAGTTACTTATATTCCAGAGAATCATTGTCCATCACGAGAAACACAGGCTACCATTAATATTAGCAGTCACCTTAGAGATGGTTCAGTCCCTGTAAGTTTATGGTGTATGTCCCTTTTGGTTGGTAAGCTAAAAAAAACCTAAACCCAAAACTAGCTAAAACCCATCTGTGAGAAAACTGGTTTGTTTTTTTCCTTGGTGCCACACACCATTTCTTCCCCAGATTATCACTTTAAGGGCTGTTCAGCCTTTAACAAAGCAGTAGCTCCATTGTCTTACAGGTTTAGCTTTTTTTTTTTTTTTTTTTTTCAATTTTTTGAGGTGAAGGCAGAATGGAAGTGTTTTCTGTGCTGCGTGTGGAAGGTGCAGACTTCACTATGGCCTTTGTTTTTCCTGTTGGCAGAGTAAGAAATAAATCCATGTGCCACAGGTCAGTTTAGTGTTCGGTGGCTGTAGCTTGGATGTGGAGAGGCCTTACACCACTGGCTCCTAGGTGAAGAATTTGAACAAATGCACTAAATACATCAGCAGAGGAAGGAAACTAAGCAAAGTACTGAAATCTGAGCAGTGACTGCTCAGCAGTCCCAGCTGGGTGGTACAGGAATGGAAGAGCTTTTACTGAGCACGTTCAGACACTGCTGCAGGGGGAAGTCTCTTGCACAAGGGAAAGCAAGGTATCAGCCTACAGTGAGGGTGGGCAGTGTGGCTGTGTGCTCCGTGTAAGAGGGCATAGCAGAAAGCTGGGTTTCAGGTGTGTACCTGAAATAGGGTATGCTACTTGAAGAATGTCTGAAGAATTTTGGAGTAGCATGCACAGGGTGCTGGGTTCACAGAACACACAACCAGGGTTAGATCAGCAGGGGTAGCGGTTGTCTCCATGTGCGGAGCTGCGTCAGCACAGGCACCTCTCTGAACAGAGGTGATGGCGGTACTGTGCAGCGGTGGCTGTACCGTGTCTTCTTCACCCAGCATGCCGTGGCGGCAATCAGGCCCAAACGCCGGGTAGGCTACAGCAGAGAGAAGGCTTGGCAAGCGCTTCAAAGTACAAAAGGCTGAGAAAATATTTACGTGGTACAGTAATTTCAAATTGGGAATGAGTCAGATCATCAGTGGCAAAGGTTGGAGACTGGGATCAGCACAGTCACTTTAGTTGGTTAACATTACTAACTAAAAGTTAACTAACATTTAACATGTCCCAAAGTTTGTTCACATAAACCTAGAGGAGAAAAAAATATTAAACGGGAGTGGCTGCTGCCCCTGAATCCAGCTTCGCCCCCCCCCCAAAATAATCTGTAGCTGGGTTGGAATCTACAACAGCGCAGAGAAGACACGCAGAATAGTCTCCATGCCCATTAAGGCTCTTTGAGGCTTTCTCTGCTTTTTGAGATCTGGTGAGTCGTAAAGTCTGATTTCACTCTGGTTTCTACAGTCTGCACCTCACGCACGTCAATATATGTACAAGTCAGTTACTTATTGCAGGTTTTAAGTCTCCAAAGACAATTCGTATGGCCAAAATAAAAGTGGGTAGTCTTTGAGGCATTGCAGATTAAAAAAAAAAAAAAAAAAATAGCTTAAGTCACCACTCTTGTGTTTCTGTAAATAGCAACAAAAATTCAAAGCCAAGAAAAAAAGGTGTAAATGAAATACATCTACAGTCCTGTACCACATGAAAGTTGAATAATGGGGTTCGGAGGTGAGACTGCATGGCAGAGACATCTGAATAGGAAAGAACTAACACCTTTTAAACAGTGGTTAAACCTTCTCTTCCTTAACTGTATTTTATCTGATCCTTTTGTAATTATTCAAATTACCAAGTTTTTCAAAGCACTCTGAGAAACAATTTGAAATACAAAAGTGGGAGCAGAAGAAGGAGGAAAGAACTGCGTTTCTTAGGGGAAACAAAAGATCAGAACATTTTATGTTTTATACAATCTGTCAAATTCTGCCCTGAAAAAGAACCTCAATTTAAATAAACGTGTCAGTGATTTCACATGGGACAGATTTTATTTATTAAACAGCTTGGGGGTAGAAATGTGAGGGAAGGCATTAAAGACAACAAAAATAACCAAGTCTCTTAAAATAAACACTATGTCCTACATGCTGGTAGAGTATCTCAGATCGCATCATTCTACCGAGACAAATAAGGAACAGCCAGTACAGCAGCTGTATTGCTGTAACGATTTCCCCTCCCCTCCCAAGGGATTCTGATGTCTAATAGGTCAGGCAATGGCCAGAGTATTTAAATTCATCGAGTAGAGATCATTTACGTTTTGTAAGCTGAGATGCCATCTGATTTCCCTGGAGGGCTCTCCTGCTTGCCGTGTGTCCAGCTCTCTCTTGGGGCTCCCTCCGGCCGGGGAAGCGCAGCCTTTGCACAGAAGGTGACAGCACGACAGAGAGCAGCTTACCTTCCAGGACGTGCCTGCCTCCACAGCTCATCTTGGCTGAGCGTTTGAAGGTCTTCGCGCCCTGACCGGGGAGCAGAAGGCAGCTCCAAGCACCCAGCTCCAGAACACGACGCAGACCTGTGTGTGCGCTGCCTCCCTCCAGCACGGCGGGTCTACAGCTCTGCTTGACCAGGCATCTCGCCTGCTGGCCCTAAAGGCAGCTGGCGGGCCCCAAACGCATCATATGCGCAGTGCTGCCATGTACTCCATACGTGAGTTTAGGTGCGTTGGTGCAGTTACACTACGTGAAAGAACGTAGGTCCCCAGCCAGGATCCAGCGTGCCGCAGTGCCCAGAACCCAGAGCACAGCCCCAGGAGCCAGGCTGCTGGGAGCTCCTCTGCAGCCCCTCGCCCAGGAGCCCAAGTACAGTGTTCGGCTCGGGACTAACCCAGGCAGAGGTGACACACCGTTGGCGTGCTTGGTTCACAACTCATTCTTCATCCACAGGCCTTCCCTGTCATCAGTTGGCACTGCTTCAGATGTATTTGGGATTTGTTTAAAACGTGCCATTTCACACACACAAAAATCTACCAGTAAGTAATACACAGGCAGTTCTAAAATCATTTTTTAAATATGACTTTTCTTTCCATAGCATTTAATTAGACTAGATGAAATAAATTAAGAAGTAATGAAATGTAAGTCAATAAACAGAACGGCCCCTTGCTTTCAGTGCAAACAGGCCTACCCTTGTAACAGAGAACAGGGAGCTATGAAAGACGATGACTGCATTTTCCTTACACGCTATGTTACCTAACAAACAGCTTCTGAATACCAGAATCAACATTCCCAAATACAACACACCATTAACATGTATTTCAGGCCATTCACATAGCACCTGTTGGGAAGCAGGTGGTTAAATCTATAGGGAAAAAAAAAAGAAAGACTGTATGGATTTCCTTTGCTAGTAGCCACAGTCATAAAATGGAAGCATTCATAAAATCTGTCCACTTGAGCCAAAATAAATTTACAAACTCTCATCCACAGTAAATATTTCAGCATTGCTGGTCCAGTAATGATTATAACCCAGTTACAATTGGGTGATTTCTGTAGGGCGAGTGAGTGTTGAATCACTTTGAAATAAGCCTCTTACTAAAATAAAATGCTATTTAATGTTCTGCAGTTGTAATTTTCCAGGCAACTTACTTTAAAGGGGGAAGTGAGATGATACATTATTTTAAGAAACACACTGAGAACTTGAAACCTGCATGCGAAACACAATAGTTTGCATTGCTTGGCATCAGATCTGGGAGTCTTACCTCAAAATTCAAATCTCAGTTTC